TCCCTTTCGGATATATTCGTTTACTTTCTCAGTTGAAACCTCATCATTCTGGTATAGCTTTGCAAAGAAATCTGCTATTTTCTTGATATGTATACTTTGTACTTGTAATCGTCCTTCTCCATCCTTCAATTTACTTATTAGCCTCTCCTCTCTTTCCTTTTTTACTTTATAGGCTAACCATCTCCCTGGTTTATTCGCATTTTCAAAGAAGTTCTGTTTGGTCAATTTAATTTGCTTAGTAAGTTCGTTTGTATCCAGGAGGTTCAGTTTGTTTTAGAATATTCATTTGTATCTTAAAGTCCTTTTTGGATGGATCTTCCTGTAATTCTTGTTCACATTTCGTCAATTCCTCTACTATTTTAGCTCGTTCTTGTTTTCTCCTTTTTATTTTTGCTGAGTATGTTATTATCAGCCCCCAACATAGGCTTTGGCTGTATCCCAGACATTTTGCAAAGAGGTTTCTTCAGTTTTAATTTGAAATAATATTTGCATTTCCTTATTTATCTCTTCTGTGAATTTTTTATCCTTTAATAAGGCTCTGTTTAACCTCCATCTGGGCGTTTTTACTGTCCCTTTCAGTGACATAGTTACAGGGTTATGATCTGCCCAGACATTTGCCTCTATTTCAGCTTCTAACAGGTCTGGTTTTAAGTCTGGGGTTATCCAAACCATATCAATTCTAGACCATGACCTATGTCTATTCGAATAGAAAGTATATTTAGCAGTTTAGAAAGTATATTTAGTTGGGTTTTTATGTCTCCAGACATCTATCAATCTGAATTCTTCAATCATATCAGAACAAGACTTTGAAAGTATCCTCCTGCTGTTTCTGCCCTTAATCTCACTCTTATGATGCATTTTCTTGTCCACAATTGCATTAAAGTCTCCCATTACACATACGGTCTGGTAGTCCAATTGTAAGAGTAAAGCATGTAGTTTTTGGTAAAACATTTCCTGATGGTCATTTGGGGCATAAATCGCCACTAAAAGCACCTTTTTCAGTTTCATTGTGATTTCAACCATCAGAATCCTACCATCCTCATCAGCTAATATATGTTTAGGGTCTAATTTTTCCTTGATGTATAAAGCTAAACCTCTTTTCTTTTGAGAAGCAGAAGATATAAATAACTTTCCAAGCTTTAAACATTCCAAAAGTTTACTATGTTGTTTCTTAATATATGTTTCTTGCAGACAAATTATATCTAATTTTCGTTTTGAAGTTGAGAGAAAATCCTTCTCCTCTTAGAGGGTCTGTTTAGTCCATTTATGTTTAAAGAGAGCAGTTCAATTCTTCCTTCCCTTTTGAAAGCCATATTTTAAAAGTAAATATTTAGCTACTTATGCTTCGCCTTTACACTTCTACCGTTTTTCTTTTCCCTTAGTTCCAGTGTCTGTCCCTCTTGTTGTAAGTCTGTATTCACTATTTCTCCTTCTTCAGAGCGGAATGCTGTTAGTTCCATTGGTTCAGCACCTTTCCCTCCTTCTTTTGGAGCACCCAATTCTTCCTCTTCAAATGTACTTCTAAATTTTTCATAAAACTCTTGTGCCTTGAAGATCGAGTCCAGCTTGTACCTTGTAAAGTTTCAGGTGAAAAATATTCGTTTTGGCATTAGCCACATAAACATGATCTCTTTCTTAGTCAGCTTTGTAGTAAGCAATACATATTTCTTTCATCCTTCTCTAATCCTCCATGGTAATTGTTTCAAAACAGTCACCTCATGATGATCATCCGCCTTTAAGGGTTTATTATGTACAGCTCTCAAAACATTGTCTCTAATAGACCTTTTTGCAAATTTAACATGGACTTCCCTTGGAAGTTTGTTTCCTGGCATAACTTGAATTCACTCAATAAACAAGGTCAATGCTTATGTCTACCTCTTCATTTTCCAGATCCAACACCTCTGCCAGCATAGTAATTATTAATTCCCTTAGGTCCTCATTCTTTCCTTCGGGTATATTCTGGAATCTCAGATAATTAGATGCCTTCTCCATCTGTAATATAGCAAGTGAATCCCATAATGACTTGCTTGTTTGTTTTATTGTGTTTGTCTACTGTTCCAATTTCTTTCATGGGCTTGTTGTATTTTTTTGTGTATTCTGTTCAGTTTTAAGTTGAACATCTGCCAGTTGGTTTGATACATCCTTAACAGAGCTATCCAGTTTGTCAAGATGTTCTCTTTGTGCATTTACGAAGTGTTTCTGCTCAGCTGACATGTTCCTCTGTTCTGCTAATATATTCCTCTGTCCTAAGCTTAATTTTGATATAGAATTTTGCATAGCCTCATGGGATGCTTGCATAGCTGCTAAAGATGTTTGTATCGCCAAAAGAGTCATTTGTAGATCTTTTTGGTATTTTTCAGCATCTGCAGCTTTGGACTGGTGAACTGGACTCTGAGCAGCTGATGTAGGTGCCGAAGAGGAGGAAGAGTGTGTTTTTTTCATAGTGATGTTAGTTTTTTGCTAGTAATTGCAAGGAAGCAACAAAAAAGAGAAGAAAAAGAAAAAGAAAAAAAACTCCAAGAGAAAAGAGGAAGAAGACTTGTTGTAAATCCAATAGCCACAGGGTGGCAGCAAAGAGTTATTTTGTCTTTATGTGACATCACAAAGAAGACTGAAAAAAGAAAATGTCCGCTCGTCAAAGATAAGTAGAAGTTTGTTTTTCTATCACTTAATCTACAATAGTTTTTTATTCTGATTCTTCACCCTTGGGGAGGTTAAAAAAAAGAAATCTTTCTTTCCAGCCTCATATTTTCCAAATCTCAGTTCCTCTCCCCTAGATTAGTCTCTGCTTAAACTCCCCGGGGGTGGGGGTGGGGAATTCCTCTCTCCGTCAAGGGGGCTTTTCTTTCTTCTTTGTCCCAATTAGTATCTGCTTCAGCTTCTTCATGGGTAATAATGGAAAGGTAGAAATGCTCACCTAGCAGGTCCGATGAACGTCAAGCTGTTATTCTATGCTATATCCAGTCATCTATGGCTTGCAGGGAGCGGATCTCTCCCCTGTGTTGTTCAATTGAGAAAATCCCGAGTTTCTCCCAGTAAATGTGGAGCCGCCGCCCCACATCACCCAGAAGTATGCTAAGACTTCTATTCCCTGCCCCGACAGGGCTTGGATGAGCCTCTCGCAGCTGTCGAACAAATTACCGGCGTGATTACAGGAGCCCCCATTCTTCACAGTCGTCTTGCCACGACGTCAACCGGAAGTCATCTCACTAATTTTCAGTTATACCTATTAGGTCATATTCACCCTCCTGTATTAATCATTGAAGTTCATGCTGTTTTTTCCCCATTCTCCAGACATTAGTATAATGAAGACCATGTGCTTTATACTCCAGCTTTCTTCCTTTATTTTCTGGAGAACTATTATTGGGCATTGTTAGAGTTGCTCCGTCTGTTGTGGTGCTTAAGACTTTGTCTGTTGTTAGATGAACTTCTCCTTTTCCTGTGGGATTCACTTTAAACCCCTTCTGATATGCCTCTTCATGGTGTGGCCAGACATACTCTTTCTAATCCTTGTAAGGTGCAACCCATCCCTTGCCAGCACTCTGTCTTCCGGGAAGTGTAGCCCATGGTCCCAGAATCCAAATATTTCACAGCACCAACTTCGTGGCCAGGAATCCACCTTTTGTATTTTTCTTTTTCTGTCTATTCCTCTCCCAAGAATTGGAAAGACTGTAGAGAAAACTATCTGGGCCACAAAGTTCTTAACTTTCCTCCCCAAAGCTTCACAGTCTTGTGTGATTTCTTCAAAACTCTGCTTGGCAGTGTTATTTGTTCCCACATGTGTGAGAGGTAAGAGAAATGTGTTAGTGGGGTGTATGAGCCTTGGCAAACTTTCAGTTATATCATTAGTCTGCCCTCCAGGGAGCTAACATACCTGATGAGTCCACAGGTCTTCCTGACATAGGTTTCCATCCAACACAACAAGGAGTCTCCTACAACTAACATTCTTCTCTTCTTGTTCTTGCAAGCCTTGGTATCACTGCCACTTCTTGGTTGACCTTTGGCCTCTTGTTCAGTGTCACATGAGACATACTGTTCTTCCACTGGAGTCTTCCTCCAGTCTCATCCTTGAGTAACTGAAAGGGGTGCCATAGTTCCACTGCTTTCACTGGTGCAAACTGTCTTCTAGTTCTTCACATGTCACCTTTTTCCAGGAAGTTTTCTCCTAATTTTCCTTTGCCTTGGGATTCTTTTTTTCTGCCTAAGCTTACTGTTGCACTTCTAGCATCTGGACTGCTCTTAGCTTCTGCAGTTCCACCACTTCATCTAAAACCTCTTCATCTTCTTTTATTTCCTTGAGGATAGACATTTGCTGTTCTAGTGCTTTTCTTCTTTTCTTCTAACAGAGCTACTAGTTTGTACTTGATGCACATGTAGGCCATGCTGACCTCAGGCAAGAAAACAAACAGCACAGACATTGCAGGTCAACCCCACTGGGGAGTCTTCTCAGTCCATTCTTTCTACTATCTTTTTGATTCTAGCTTGCTTGGCCTGTTGTAACAACCAGTGCTTTTTCCTCTGTGTAAAGGTTAACAACGCAGTCATACTAGTAAATATTAGGGGAGAACTGGACATGTTCAGCCTTGAGAAGAGAAGACTGAGTGGGGACATGATATCCCTATATAAGTACCTCAAAAGCTGTCACAAAGAGGAAAGTCAAGATCTCTTCTTGCTGATGCCAGAGTGTAGGACATGGAATAATCAATTCAAGTTGCGACAACCCAGAGTCAGGCTAGATATCAGAAGATTCCTCACTGTCAGAGCAATATGACAGTGGAACCAGTTGCCTAGAAAGGCCGTGGCCTCTCCCACACTGGAGACATTCAAGGTGAAACTGGACAGCCATCTGAGTGGGATGGTGTAAGTGGTGTCCTGCAACAGCAGGGGGTTCAGCCTAATGGCCCCTTTCAACTCTACTATTCTATGAAGGGTTTTAAAAGGAAGAAAACAAAGGGGGGGGGAAGAAAAAGAAGAAAAAAATAAACAGTTTTAAAAGAGAACTTGTTTTTTTATTGAACCCCAACAAAATGAAGTTTAACAGCGATCACAGCATCCAATTCTCTGTAGTCAGAAGGCAACAGTAACTTTACTTTAAAAAAAGGCTTTAGAGCTACGTGTTCTACATGTTCAGTCGTGTGTTCCTACAATTATAAAAAAACAATCTCCCAAAGTGTAACTGTGCTGTAGGGGCTCCAATTCAGCAAGGCTTGGTCGATCTGTGCTGCCCCCTCAGCACAGCAGTCTCAGAGGGGAATTACATGTTGGAAAAGACAAGGGACTGCTGCCATTAATGGCAACTCTAAAATGAATTCCCCTTCTCTCACTCAAGAATGTCTAGCTTAGCTTACAATTATGACATTGTTACAGTGTGCATTTTTTCCACAGATGAAAAGGCAGCAAAACCAGAGGACAGGCTACCTAGCACTTTTCAGATATTTCTGCCTAGTATTCCTACAAGCCCCAGCCAGCATGGCAAGTGGTCAGGAATTATGGTGATTGTTGTCTAAAACATCTGGAGGGAATCAGGTTGCCTATTACTAGGTAGAGGGGAGAAAGGCAGGTTTCCTTACCTGTAACTGTCATTCTTTGAGTGCTTATCTGTGCATGCAGGGCTCTTTGTGCATGTGTGGAGCAGTTTTTGGGAAGATTCCAAAGCTGATTAATTATTATTCGGCAGGATCCTAGCCCCCAACGTGACTAGCATGTGGGCAGGGCTCCCACTGAGACCTCAGTTCGAGACTGAGACTGCCATCATAGTCACATCAAGAGATGTGCAACCCATGTGTCAAATGAGAGACACCAGAGAGGTTGGCGGGTGGGTATGTGCGAATGCACAGATGACCACTCAAAGAACAACAGTTACAGATAAGGAAACCCGCCTTTATTCTTTGTGGTCTCTGTGCATCATACATGTAGACTGGCAAGCTCACCTCAATGAGGAGGGTGGTGTTGTTCATCAGACCACTCTGCTGAAGGCACAGTCCTTCCTGGAGTTAACATCAACTGTAATAGTGAATAAAGGTTGAAGGGTATAAGTCAGTGAGTGACACTCCAGCATAGAGAGTGGTGGAGGTAGAGGTAGCTCTGGTAGAGTGTGCTTTAACAGTTCTGGAGAGCTGAACTCCAGAGAGCTCATACATCAGGGATATGGTGTGCACAATCCACCTGGAAAGCCTTTGTGGGGAAACAGGGCTCCACTGTTGTGCTTCACCATAGAGGACAAAAACTCTCTGAAATTTTCTAAAGGATTGAGTCCTGGATTTATAAAGTGCTAGCACTTTTGCCAGGAAGTGATAGGACTAGATGCCATGATATTAGTTTTCTTATGTTGAGTTGCAAGCCAACTTTTGCATTCTCCTCTTTCACCCGCATCAAGAGGCTCTTTAGTTCCATTAGAGTGGTGTCATCTGCATATCTGAGGTTGTTATTTCTCCTGGCAATCTTAATTCTAACTTGTGATTCGTCTAGCCACACTTTCACATGATGTGCTCTGCGTATAAGTTAAATAGACAGGGTGACAGAAGGAGGCTCAGTTCTGAGAGCTGCAAGTTCAACAGCTCTGAGGACAGAGATGACAGCAACCAAAAGGGTTGCTCTCTGGGAAAAAAGGCATAGATCAGAGGAAACTTTTGACTCAAAGGGAGGGTTAGTGAAAGCATGGAGGATGACTGAGAGGCTCCAGGATGGAGAAGGGCATCTGATGGGAGGGGCTAAATTGAGGACCCCTTTGAGGAACATACAAATTACAGGATGGGAGAAAGCTGTATGTCCTAGAATAGGAGCATGGAAAGCTGATATGGCAGCCGTGTACACCCTGATGGAGGAGTAGGAGAGACCCTTCTTATTCACGGAGTTAAGGAAGAGGAGGATTTGAACGGGAGAGGCTATGGCTGGAGAGAAGTCATGTTGCCTTGTGAAGATAGTGAATACTGTCCACTTAGCATCATATGATTTTTGAGTAAATGGATTAAAAGAAGCCTCACAGCTCTGAGGTCAGGAGGGATGTCTATCAGTGGTGCGGGCTCTGTTGAATTATCCATGTGGTGAGTTTGAGAATAGTCAGGTTGAGATGGAAGGTTTTGCTGTGGTCCTGAGAAAGGAGGTCCATATGATACAGCACGTGGAGGAACATCCTGTTGGAAAGGTCAAGCAGGAGAAGGAGCCAGTGCTGTCTGAGCTACCATGGTGTAATAGGATGACATTGGTGAGGTCTCAAGAGATTTTTGTGAGGACTTTTGGGATCAGGGGGAACAGGAGAAACAGGTAGAACAGGTTCCTGTTCCAGGATAGCAGAAATGCATCTCCGAGGGAGGGAGTGCCCAGGCCTGCTCTTGAACACATGGTGTTGTGTTTGGTAGTGATTGGATCTACCTGAGAAACACCCCAACAATTCCAAAGGGATTGAAGACCATGGCGTGTAGTTCCCATTTGTGGCACTTGGAGAAGTCCTGCTGAGAGAAGGTTGGTAGAAGCGGGATGGTGACTGGACCGGCAGACTCCACATGGACCACTTCAAAGACTGGTTCTTTCACTCTGGTGGGTTCCTGTCTACGGTTGAGCCCAAGACTGTGAGCCATGTGGGGAACGTGGGAAGAAAAGAGGCCCAAGTTCTCTGGTGTGTGAGGAAAATCTAATGTTGGTATAGAAGTACCAGGTGGTAAGTCAGAGTGTCGGTCCAGAAGGGAGATGACCGAAATTGAAATGAACTGGTCTATGTCTGACTGATTTGGTTTGGTTTGTGTGGTGGCTAAGTATGCTAAAAGGAGGTCGACACGCGAGGGATAGTTGCCTGGGTACGTTCCTGAACAGGCTTGGAAAAGGGAGGAACACACCGTGGTCCTGGTATAGAATCCCGATGGGACCCATAGGGGCTTCAATGGGAGCCTTCGTGCCTGGAGTTTATGGATCCCCATTGCTCAACACAGTAGTTGGTATTGATGTCCCCTTGATGTCCCAACGGAGTTTGATGTCTTCTGTGTGAGGTCTCAGTCAAATGAGAGCGAGAACAATGTCTATGTCTTTGCTGTTCTGAATGGAGAAATACACTAGGGATCAAGGGCACAGGCAAGGTTTGCCTCTGTACCAATGGGTGCTTGGGTTTTGAGAGTGGAGCTGGAGCTGGATCACACATCTCCCCCTCTGAAACTAAGGTGCTTTTCGGTTGGGAGGGAAGCTCCTGAGACTGTCTTGGTATCGGAGCAGAAGGGTAGCTCTATTCTTGCTACGGTACATGGGAGACTGACAGATGGTGGAGAATCCGTGCATTTTTGGCCACTCTTAGCACTCTCCTTCTCTTTGTTAAGGATAAGTAATTTGGAGGACTTTGCCTTCTCGTCTGTTTTTTTCTGTTTCATTGTTTTAGGAATTTTAGCTGATGGAGGAGCAAACATCTCCTCCGTGGTTGGGAGAATTGGGGCCCCCAAGTTAGATGAATGAGGACCCTCTGCAAGCAGGGCACAGATGCAAAGTCTGGCTTTTAGCCAGTAAGCTCAGTGTTTCCTTGCCTGCTTGGTAAAAGCTTGGCAGTGATAGCAGGATTCTATGACATGAGATTCTCGGAGGCAGAAAAGGCAAAGGGGATGGCTGTCTGTAGGAGGGAGTTTACTACTGCACGTGGTGCAATTGCCGAAAGGAGCCTTCAATGCCATTTCGTTAGTTCAATGAGGCGCGAGGTAGGGCAGGGTTAGCGGGCAAAGGTTCTCCCACTGAGAACTCTTGTCGTCCAAGGTCTGATTTTAAAATTATTCTCTCTCTCTCTCTTTCTCTTCTAGTGAGAAGAAATGACTGGTAGCAAAAACTCGTCAAAGACAAATAATTTTGTGAGGTAAATAAGAGAAGGAACTTCCCAATGTGCTCACAATGGTGGTCGAAGAACTGAGGTCTCGGTGGGAGCCCCACCCTCACGCTAGTCACGTTGGGGGCTGGGCATCCACTGAATAATAATTAATTAGCTTTGGAATCTTCCCTAAAACTGCTCCGTGCATGTGTGAGGAGCCCCATATGTGTGATGCACACAGACCATGAAAAATAACATGGCATTTGGCTGCCATTTGTAGAGATAGCTCAGTGTAGTTTTGCCCTTCCCTGTTAAAACAGATATGGGACAAGACACTTCACAAGAACTTCAGCAATAGTATGAGGTTTTTCCCAGCCTTCCTAAATTTGAATTTCCTATGGAGACAACCTGGTAAAGCCAATAAAACAAGAGCCAAGATGGGTATTAATTTTCTGAGTCCCTCCTAAGCTATCTGTTTGGCAAACGTTTGGTAGTTAATTACTAAAGAAGCCACATTCTTTCTGCCTGGAAGATCTCCCACTAAGCCTTTTCATCTACAAGCTGCTGGGAATTCAGTCACAAGTAATACTGATACAGAAACTTTCCACGATCTTTTCCTCCCTTTGCAGAGATTCTAACAACATTATATAAGTAAGGTTTGGACCTAGTATGCCTATGAGTAAATATTCTTGTGGTTACACATTCCAGCTCTTGCCTGCTTTCTTGCTGTAAGCTTCATTGCAGTCCAATTCATTTTGCAGATTCTGATGTGTATTGAAATCAGGATCGTACATCAGATAAAACAGATGGAAGAGTGAAAAACACAGAAGTTGGATGTAGAAGGCTATCAGACCACGGCAGTTGAAGTGAAATAAGTGCTTCATAAATACAAGCCAAGTTTTTGGCTTGATTAACTTTCTTTGCTTAAGAGTCATCATAGAGAGGATTGTTGTAGTTTCCCCAGGATCCATAGTCATGATCATCAAAGAGTCGTCCATAAGAAGAATGCCTGAGAATGAAAAAGAAACAGTACTTTACCCCTACTATACTGCACTTCCCTGTACAGTCATTGCTATTGACTCTACCCAGAACCAAGAAAGTGTGCCCTAAAACATGGCCAGTACTCCCTGCATCAACATACTGCTGGGGGAATAACCTCTGGCATTCCATTGCTTCCCCTGTCTCTTATTCATTAAACTACCAGATAACCAGTACATCCTGTCAACTATTGCCTTGGGAGATTCACAAGCAACCTCTTCATCATAGTTCTTGCACCATGTTTATCTTGCTGCCTGTTGCCAACCAAGTGAAGATTGCCCAGGCCCAGCATCAGACCAAAAACAGGAGAAGCTCATTTTGCTCTTCCATCCATGAAGAACTCAGGGCCAAGCTACACAATACATTAGCTCAGGGTTCCTCAAACTTTTTTTACCAGGGAGCCAGCTGAAAGCTACCAATGCTGGACGTGGGCCGGAAAGGTGGTGCCAGCGGGGCGCGTGGGCTGGTGCAGGAGTGGGGGCGGGGTGCGCGGGCACACACTCACTGAGGTGAGGACAGGGCGCGCAGGTGTGGCGAGGTGTGGGTGGGTGCGCACGGCAAGGGGAGGGGAGGCAAGGTGGGGGCGGGCACACGCTGCGATGCAGCAGCGGGCGCATGGAGTGGCTTGCTCGCTTGGAGATCGTTTTCTCCGAGCAAGTCCAAAATGATCTCCTTGCAAGCAAGCTGTCGCCTCCGCATGCAGCAGGCAAGGCGGGTGGCAGCAGGCGCCGTAGCCTGCACATGGCGCATGTGCAGCACATTGAAAATCTCTGAGGCGGGCCAGATAAATAGCCATAGCGGGTCGGATCTGGCCCCCAGTCCATAGTTTGAGGAACCATGCATTAGATGTACAGTGCCTTGCAAAAGTATTCATCCTCCTTTGACTTTCCCACACTTGTATTACAATATGGAACAGAAATATATTGTCATTGTTATCATGTGATATATGTGATAACTTGCAAATGCACGTATATGAATACTTAATACCTAATACCTTGAAGTTACAAACTTCATACTGAGAGCTATACAATGAGAGCCAGTGTGGTGTAGTGGTAAAGAGTGCAGGACTAGGGTTCAGATGAACTGGATTCTAGTCCCTACTCTGCCATGGAGCCAACTTTGGGCCCATCACAGATTCTCAGCCCAACCTAGTTCACAGGGTTGTTGTTGTGGGGATAAGACTGACAGCAGCAGCAGAACAATGTAAGCCACTTTGAGTTCATTGTAAGAAAAACGTAGGATATACATCCAATAAATTAATAATAGACAAACTTTTTAGTGTGGTGCAAAACATAAATAAACATAAAGAAAGTGACTCACCCCTTGAGTCAATGCCTAGTAGAAACACCTGCAGCAATTACAATTGCAAGTCTTTTTGAGTAAGTATTTACACATCTGGATCGTGCAATGTTTGTCCATACTTTCTGAAAAAACTGCTTCCCAGTGGGTGGGGATCACTGATGAACTGAAACTTTCAAGTGTTGCCACAGATTCTCAGCTGGAGTGAGGGGTGGGCTTTTGCTGCAATGTGGGCTATAATAAGTAATTCAGCTTGTGGTTTTTAAACTACTCCAGTGTAGGCTGTATGTTTAAGGTCACTGTTGTGCTACAATGTGAACTTATTAATTCTTTGGGAATACTTGTTCCTACAGTTTATTGCAAATGATTAAGTTAAATTTGAATAAGTAGTTTAATGAGATTTCAAGACAAATGGACAGACGGGCATTTATAAAGTTACGTCTATGAAGAAGGACATATAAACTTCAAATGAATAGTATGCCTGAAATTGTCTGTGTCTTACATGATATTCCTTTACGTGTACTGGCAAGTATTTCCAGAAGCTTAATGTTTTGCGTCATACATTTTCATGGGGTTCCACTCCAGCGTGAGTATCTTTGAAAATAATACAACTTTTGATCAAAGAGAGTAGATTTGGACTCTTAAACCTTTCCTGATACCATTGGGCCTATTTGTTGACTTGTGCTAGATTTTGGTCTTTTCCACTTAGATTAGAGAGAGCCAGTGTGGTGTAGTGGTTAAACGCATGGGACTGGGACTCAGATGATCTGGGTTCTAGTCCCCGCTCAGCCATGGAGCCAACTGGGTGACTTTGGGCCAGTCACAGACTCTCAGCCCAACCTACCTCACAGGGCTGTTGTTGTGGGGATAAGATGGAGGAGGAGATGTAAGCTGCCTTGAGCCCTTTGTAGAAAAAAGGCAGGATATAAATGGAAAAATAAATAAATAAATAAGATTCTCCTCTCTGGTGTCTCAACCAAAAATGGAATAATAAACTGGAGCATCTTATCTTGCCCAATCAATACAAGGTTTCCGTATCATTTGTTTCACAAGGGCTCCTGGATCTTTAGTAGTAAAGGTTTCCCCATGACATTAAGTCCAGTCATGTCTGACTCTAGGGGGCGGTGCTCATCTCTATTTCTTAGCCAAGGGAGCCATTTCTCTGCAGACAGTTTCCATGGTCATGTGGCTGGCATGACTAAATGCCAAAATGCAAGAAATGCGGTTCCCTTCCCACTAAAGTGGTACCTATTTATCTACTTGCATTTGCATGCTTTTGAATTGTTAGGTTGGCAGGAGCTGGGGCAGAGCAAAGGTAGATCACCTCATCCCATGGATTCAAACTGCTGACCTTCCAATTGACGAACCCACGATGTCACCCATGTCCTCGCATGGGTTAAGGCTACGTTTAATTTAGCAAAAAAGAATGTTTTGAGTATAAAGAATGCTACAATGTCTTGTTGATACTTAGTGTCTTACTAAAGTGGTCAATTGTTAGAAGTTCGATGCTGCTAATGCTTCTCTTCTTTTGGCGATACCCAATGGCAGCTTCCTTTTGGGAGGAAGTAATAATTTGGATAAATTTTGTGATGGAATTTTTTTTGTACAAAAAAATTAGATACACATGTCCTTTGAATTACCTGTTTTACCTGTTTATCTCATGGAATTTACACTAAGTCAGTATGGATTGATTTTCCGAGTCTTTTGGACAGCTAAAAGGAAAATACTAAAACACTGCAAGGATAATTAGCCACCTGCAATAACACAGTGGGTGAAAAATTTAATGAAAAATTCTGTTTTTGAATGTGTGGCCTTTAGGCATAACCTACAAATGGAAAAATATATGGCTATTAAGGCTGCTGCAGTTCACATTTATGCATAATTATTTTCAATAATGGGAGCATGTTCTGTAACATACTGATGCATGTGTGTGTGCATGTGCACACACGCACACAGCACCACTGTTAAATATCTTTATAAACCTTATTTAAAATTAAGTTTTAGTTTATATTATTCTCTTTTTCCTTCTCTAATGGTGTGCTTTGTTTGTGTTGTACAATGAAAAATATTAAGAAGGGGTAACAATGTGAATGTTTTATGTTTCAATTTTAGGTCACACGAATGTGCATGAATGCTTCTGCAAGACCCTGTGAACAACAAATGCAGTGGAGTCTGGGAGAGTTTAGATTAGATGGGGGAGTTTTAATCCTCCTGTCTCTAGCCAAGCTCACAACAAAGATTGTCCCCTGAACACCACTGCAATTTGTATTGGGAGGGAAACTCCCATTGGAACCAATAAAGGTGAATCACTGGATGCAGAATAAAAGAATGATAACAAAGGGACAATGAGGAGATGGAATCTGTGGTGGAGAGATCTGTTGGGGCAACAAATGAGGAAACAAAGACAGAGGAAAACCTAGGAGTATGGATACCTAGGAGAAGTGTGTGTCTGAGTGCATGTGTAGCAGTGGCAGCAGCTAAGGAGACAGTATGAAGTGATGCTGAGAAAGAATAGTTCATATGTTATGGGCTACACAGAGAAAGGGGGTATTAATAGAGAAGGGGGGAAGCTAGCTAAAATTGTATGATCCCTCTGAGTGGATGAAAACGAAGTGATTTCAGCAAGTGAATTTTATGCAAACTCTTTCACTTTCAGGACAATAGCTGAGAAGCCAGCCTCTTCCCAAGGAATGACTGTGTCTCCTCTAAATAAGCAGGTGCGAAATCTTACCTGATCTTCAGGAATGTGGCTAGGCCAAACACCACCAGTACCACTACAATCACTGTTACAGTAATGGCTGCAATGCTTCCTGAACAGGAAAATTAATGCACACATAAATTGAATATTCAGTTACTGCCAACTCCACACAACAGTTGTTCTTCAGTATTATAATTTAACACAGCACATATGCATACTGCCATCTAATGTAGGAAATGTGATAGCTCCAGATAGGTTTTTGCTCAGAGAGCTAGCTACAAGAGTGGAATCTGTACTTAGCTTAGCTTCTACAAATCCTGCAACATGTACATAATTGCTTCTAAATAAATATATTGTTTTCTACTTCAGTTTGGTCACACAATTCTTTCAAAATGTCAGATGAAGAAAAAAGAGTTGGGACCTAAGTAAACACTGTTGCATGATCATTGCTATCTTCAATAGCAATTATATCATGCAGTTGAAGTACTTCATGCAGGGCAATATCAATATCCAGCTATCATGATAAAGGTATGGAAGAAGCTGAGAGATTAGCCGCTTGCTTGAATCAGGTACTTCTGAGTTTCTTTGCCTATATAAGTGGCTCAATGCTACTCCAGTCTTTATATCAGCTTCGGGCCAAACTAGGTATTTGTTAAATCAGGTGTAGCAGAGCTAGATGTAATTAGCTACTTACTTCTACCTATGGAATGGGAGTGGGGGCACATGGACCCTTGTGAATGAATTCTCTCCCCTGATTACTGGAGAACCAACTAGCTGACCTCTTTCCTTGTCTCATTGCCAAGAATCATAGAAATGGCCCACCTACACTTCATCTAGTCTCAAAGATACTTCTTAGGTCATAAAGACCAGACATTGAGATCTTTAAAAAAGATGAAGCTCAAATACTAAGATTCCTACAGTGGTAACTCTGCTGACATTTGTTCACCTTAAGTTGTCACAGTAGACACGTAGGATCTTTGTTCTCATAGCCATTGATAGTTTTCCACATATGTAAAATATGTGGCTAATAATAAAGAGATAAGCAACAATTGGTGTGGGCACTCAGAATTCTAGCAAAGCTTTCAGATATGTCTTTTTTTTTGCACATTCCTAAATTGCCTTAGTAGAAAGAATTAATATAATAATTATAATAAATATAATAATAATTAGGATTATTGGTACCAAATATTAGGTTTGAATAAATCAGATCTGCAAGTGATGGGCTTATGCTTTAAACCAGGGGAAGGGAAGGATTCCAAGAGAAAGAGGAAGGCTTTTGGGGTAGGCTTGCAAGAACTATCCCAAGTCCCATGATCTGGTTGAATTGTCCTTCCCTTCCATCATGGAGCCTTCTACCAACAACTACCCAGGGAAAGAACTTTACGATTTTTTTTAAATTGTTTTTGAGGATGTCAGTAGTACACTTTTATCATACTTTTAAAACACTTTGGAGGGTTTTCTATCCTGAAAGTGGCATATAAGTGATGGAAATAAATAAAACTGATACCCTCCAGACATTTTGGATTACAATTCCCATAACCATTGGCAACTGACCAACATTAGCCTGGGATTAGGGCAGTTATTGTTAAGCACATCTGGAATCAGGTTACACCACAGTTTAAAAAGTTTAATCATGATATGTAAATTGAGAAACCATGCTTTGCTGTGGGTTTGCAATGATTTGCATGAGGGCAGGTAGAGGAGAACACTTAACGGCCATCATTCTGCCTTTACAAGTTGTTGAGTAAGACTGGATGAGTAGACAGAAAATGAAAGTAGTCGGACATGTCTAAAATGGCTTGTAGATTTGAGTTCTACATTATGACTGGTGCAAACTATAGTGAGCAACTCGTGGCTCTTTAGATGTTATGGCTTACATCTCCCATTCGACCTAGCCAACATGTGCATATGTGAGAGATGATTAGAGTTGTAGGCCAAAAGATTTGGATGGCCACATGACTACCCTTGTTTTTTTAAAGATGACTGAACCAAGTCTACTTAGGGCTCAGAAGCTCAACATCCACTTTTTCAAAGGTATGTAAGAACATTACATGATTCAACTGGGCCATTTTATGCATGTTTAGACAGCAGTCTTACAACTCTGTAACTACAGGACTCATTTCTAGTTAAATCTGTGCAGGAGTGTATCTTAAGTGTAAATAAAAGTTTTTAGAATGTGTTATGACAAATGAAGTAAGGCTAAACACCATCAAGAATTCAAAATTCTTCAGAATCCAAACTGACCTTTTTATGTTTCTGCTGTATGAAGTACACATTCATCCACTAAGGAAATGAAATGAAACGAAAGAAATCTAATTTCCAAAGAGCAAGTAATAAATGTGCCACTTCAAACTGCAGCTATTTGGAGCCCTGATCAAAATTGGGACCAGGTCATGTGGGCATGCTATAAGCCTGGCAAAAATCAGTCCACAGGTAGAATTTGGCTAAGGAGAGAAACTCCTTCCATTGCCGAGGATGGCAAGAATAAGGCATATAACATAAACATATTGACAGGTAGTGCTACCTTGGGGAAGATTCCTAATGGATCTTCCCCATTACCCATGATGTGCAGTTTAGTCAACTGAGGCTTAGGACATGGGAGAATATTGTTTGTAGGATATGTCTCCTTTTCCATTGCTCAATTTTGGGGGGAGTGGGGGAAGAAATCCACTTCTTTTATCATTCTGATTATTTAAACAGTAACATTGACCTCTGCCTTATACTTCAAATTAACAAGGAAAAAAATTAAGCAACAAGACTAATAAGGCTCACCTGAACTCAAAGCATGTGGGACCTCTTGTATGGTTATGCCAGCAGAGAAAGTGGTGCCATCAGTAAGGGAGGTGTCAGGAGTAGATTTACTTCCTAAATGCATTTGTGAAGGTGTAAGCCTTTCTATGGGGCTTGGGGAAGTGGGTGCCACAGGAGCCTCCCTAGATGTTGTCTCCTCAGTAGGGAGTTTCTTGCTTGTGGTCACAGTTACTGCTGCTGTTTCTGTGTTTGGCAACTGGGTAGGGACAGTTGCGCTAAGGTTTGTGATATCAGTTGAAGCAACAATGGTAGATAATGCTGTTCTAATGTATGAAGAGGTGATTCCCAGGGTTTCTGAAGGGCGAATGGTATTTGTTGTACAACTAGCAACTGATGTCACAGAGGCCACGCTGTTTTCTGTACTTTGTGATCCAGTGCTTGACTGTGGGGATGATTTAGCTCTGGAAACAGTTCTTGATAGGGGTGTTGTAGCCAAAATGTCCACTGTGGAGGCACCATCAGTAGAAACTGTGGAATGATCTTGCTCTGTACGTCCTGAAGTGATCCTAAGGGAAACAGAGGCTGATGCTGCAGTTACTGGCATGGTGATAATTGAAGTGATGCCATTGGATATAGGAGTCTGATCATCAGATGTGGTTCTTCCTGAGGTAGCTATTTTTAAGGGAGTAGGTGTGTTGATAGTAGGGGCACTGGTTGAAGATGCAAAGTTGATATGTAATCCTGTATGTACACACACACATCATTAGCATTCCAGCTGGTCAGTCAACTACTATCTACTTAAACCTATTAGCAATATTCTTCACACATTAGCATGATCAAGAAACTATCTAGGAGTCTGTTATTAATGCTGATGAAAATGTGTACTTCTGAAGATGAGATTCTCCATTATGGAAACTAGGAGGAAACATGTTTCCCATGCCACAATGTCCCTCAAAGCATCCCATCACTTTCTCCCACACAAATGAATGATTCAGCTGAGGCTCTTCTGCAGGTGCCTCTGCTACCAAAGGTGTGGCAAGTGGCTATTGGATAGAATGCATTTTCTGAGGTGGAAGCCAACCTTTGCCTCTTCATGCAAAGTCACCTGCTGCTGTTGCTCCATTCTGAATGTCAGTTAAGGTCTAGCATGGTTTCCTGTTTAATATTATAACTGTTTTTATCAGTATATATATTAGTGTTACTTGCTCTGTTTAATTTGTTTTTAGTCTGTTAGCTCTGTTACTCATTGTTATTTAACAATAATTTAACAAAAACTGTAAGTTTCCCTGGTGCTATTATAGACAGATGGAATTACAAAGAAACAAATGAACCCTAACTCAAATTCAAACCCTAAACCTAAATAAACAAATAGACGTGGACTTTCACCCTGTGATAAAAATTAAAGCTCTGCACTTTGGCAGAGACAAGATTGGCAGAGACAATTAAATAGTTCTATTTGTAATGGCAAGCAACTGAGGATCAGATTTCAAATTCTTCAGGAGGCATTGCTGTACCTAATTTGAAGTTATACTATTATGCAGCAGGCCTGGTTTATATTGCAGACTGGATTCTAAATAGGCAAGTGAAGTTGGAGTTGGCTGATCTTGAAGACGGAATACCTAATCTTTTATGGGCTAAAACATCAGTTAAGAAGGCTCTGATCTTAAACAACAGCCATGTGCTAAGAGATAGTTTAATTAAAAATTGGTATTCCTTGAAGAAAAAAAAATAGTCCTTCAATCTCCCCCTGATGTCTCCAGTTGAAGCATATCAAAAACAATCAAGGAGAAATAACAATCTTATAACTTATCGAGACATTAATGATCAATCAGGATGAATTAAACCTTGGCAACAACTGAAAGATGAAGGGAAAAATATGCAGTGGCTTGTTTATCATTAATTGATTTCAAGACTGAAGGGGAAAACGTGACCAGGAGAAGGCATCTTAAGAGATCTGACAGATTTTGAAAAGTTTATACAGCAGAATGAGCATTCACTGGGAAGACTTTACAAACTGCTATTACAGTATGATACTGAAAGCCATCAAGATAAGAAACACATGATAATACAGAAATAGAATCTTGGTGAAGTATCACTGGGTCAGTGGGAAGCTCTCTGGAAGAAAGATTCACTGCTAGTCAAGCATTAAGAGAAAATTGGTGTAAGATGTTTTATTGGTGGTACATTAAAAGATATTGGAAAAATAGAGAAGAATTATAATGGAAAATGTTGGAAACGTAACAGGGTAGATGCAACTTTCTATCATACGTGGTGGACTTGTGAAATAACACAAAAACTTTGGAAACTGATACATGCAGAAATGCAGAAAATCTTTAAAATGAAGTTTCCTATGCGTCCCAAGAACATGCTTTTGAATATTGTACCAGAGACCCTTTTAAAAACATGTCACAGTTATTTAAGTATATGACTAGGCCAGCAAGAATCACAATAGCTTCAATATGGAAATCGCCGGAACCCCCAGCCATTGAAGAATGGAGAAATAAATTAGCAGAATAGGCAGTGATGGCAAGGCTAAATATGTTAATAGAAGACTGTCAGAAGAATTTAATGACAAATGGAAATTTTATTGTGCTTAGCATGACTAATGGAAATTCAGGGGATTTTGGAAAAGAAAAAGGAAAGTAGTAGAATTTGAACTGATTAGAAAATTTGTTGATGTATAGAATAATGATTTATTTTTTGTAAACTCTCAAAGAGCATGGGAAGACAGGAAGAGAGTCAGTTTTGGGGGTTGCAATACATCGGCTGTATTTGTTTAAAATTCCCCTGGAACTTTGTCTATTTTGTTTTTATAATAGGCTTATTTTTATTCTACATTTCTTCTATGTATTTGTATATGTTAAGAAAATAAAAATTAAAAACAAACTCCCCCAAACCAAAGCAAGACACATGAACAAGTAACACGGATCTGTTTGGATCAACAGGAACAATTGGAGCATATGAGATGGGTATTTTACTAAAAACTTGCGTACCACTTCTATAATAATGAAAGACTTTATGTATACTTTCTCACGTTTTCTAAGATGACTATTACCTATTATAAACTATGATTAATTAGCATGGGTGTTCAAAAGAGCTGCATACTTGACAATTATTCCAGCTGGAAACTAGAGATTTTTTTTATTGTGAACGATCAACTTTGAGTTCATTTCTCCTTAGGATTGGCAAAGATGTTCAAATAATGTTTCTTTTGCTGTTTGAGAAGGAAAGTAACAGTTCTGTTTTCAGTTTATCATACTGACACCTGGGTGATGTGTTTGTACATGATAGTAAAGTGTTTGACATGTACTTGTTTTCATCTGAAATGGGAGTCACCCTCAAAATTTTGAACTTTCCCATAAATGCACACACAATCTTACTCAAACCTTCAAGAACTTACAATATAGACAGATCTGGGGCTAAGGCAGGCAGGGAAAAGATAAAGCAAAAATCTGCATGTAGTGATCAGCCTCCTCCCGCCCCCGGTCCTCACATTCCTGCAGCTCACTGGGCTGTAACCTCCACCCAAAGACTCCCTGGTCCCCAGTTCCAGTCCAGACACTGGATTCAGCACACCACGACCCAAGCATTGGGGAAAATGCATTTTATTTAAAAGGTTACCAAATAGAAGTAGGGGGTTTAAAACCACTAAGACACACAAGCACCATTACATACAAGGAAAGAGGGCAAGGGAAATTGGAAAGCAGCACAAACACAATTTACAACCAATCACAGCCCCCCGAGGCACTGTTGGCCTCCTCAGGTACAAAATAAAGTTTCCCTAGCCTATAGTCTTTCCAAATACAAGGTAGCAAAGCCTCCAGCAGCAAGAAGAAAACCTCTCCTTGAAGTGGAACCCCAAGCCTTCTCAGCTCCCTTCTTTTATCCCCCTTTGTTAATCAGATAACTCATGAGGTGACATCTTATGACATATTCCAGGTGATGATAATTTGCCCTTATAGCTCCCAATCTTTCTTAGGGCGTGCAAATTCCCCTGTCCTTGGCTATAATTTACATCTCTCTGCTTTTGCATTCCCAAGCCCTATCTGGCACTCCGAAGGCCTTGGCACCTGGCTCTCTTTGAATCAACACCCGGAAGTTGCAGCCATTTACCCTGTATGTCAGTTAACCCATCCCTTGAAGATTGGGTGTTAGGCCAGTTCACGTTACCCTGCACATGCTAAGTAACATATGCTTTAAAGAAAGTCACTGTCTGTCTGTCTTTCTGTCTGTCTGTCTCTGTGTGTGTGTGAGTGTCTTTAGAGGACCCTGTCTCTTATTTGTAAAAAGTGATTGTGGACAGGGCAGATTTCTGGAAAAACTGCAGGCAGAAAGATTCAGGCAGGCAGCAGGAGAAGGTGAAATACATGGGGGCAAAAAGTCAAGGGTCCATGGACAGCAGCATGGTGAGGCAGATGGTCCAGGGATTTGGGGTGCCCCATAACACTGCCTCTGGTTAATGCCTCTAACACTAATATTAGAAGATAATTAAAAGTCACTGGAGAAAATAATAATGCTAGGAAAAGTCAAAGGCAGAAGAAGATGACTATGAAATGGATCAATTCCATAAAGGAAGCCACAGCCTTGAATTTACAAGATCTGAGCAACGCTGTCAAGGCCAGAACATTTTAGTGGCCTTTCATTCATAGGGTTACTATAAATTGGAGATGACTTAATGGCACATAACAACAAAACTTCTCAAAATGCCTTCTAAGATCACCCAGTCAGAGAAGAATCTGTTACAGCCAGAAGCTCAGGTATATTTCTAGCCTTTCTGCAGCTTCTATAGTTAATGTAGCAGCTTTGTTTGCTGTAATACAAATCTACCACCATGAGGAATCTGCCTCTGATCACAGAAACCCCCTAACTTCCTGTCTCCTTCAGGTATCTTCTTTTCCTGGGGTGTGGGGGAGACAGGACCTCGCAGTTACAGAATCACTACCAGAAATGTGATTAAATCTCTACATGGCCGTGTTTTCAAGAGGAAATACTAGAGACTGTCAACAAAGGGTTACCTTATTGACTCTGTATATTTAATCAAAACAACCCCCACCCACTGCCACTCAGTTTCTTAAGAATTTTGGCAAGCCTCTAGCCTCCTGTCAGTGCAAACCTGGCAACTTGCGCACAGTGAAGAGCAACTCTCTGAAATCAAAGGAGAGAGTTTGAATCAGGATCCAGCAAGGAGGGAGCAGGGCCAGCTCACTCTGCACACTTCCTGGCTCCTCCCCATTGCTAGGACATGAATAGGTTGTGGAAAATAAGGGAAATAAATTGTGAAAAATAAAGGAAATAAATGAATATCATAGTATTTCTTAATTTTTAAACTACAAATATTTTAGCAAAGTACATAGAATGTTATTTGTCAAAAATCTTGTTACATATAGCCCTGTTTATGGAGTCATTCATTTTGATATGAGCACTCTCCACATCATTTTAAGAGAGACTTTATATAGAATCAAGCCTAATATAATCCTGTGTTTAATGGATCAAAGTTGGCATAACATTACAGCAGTGACCACAACAAAGTTTTCACTCATAGGGTGAGCTGAACTTCAGCCTATGTCACAACTTGTCTCACACAACTAAATACAAAAAAAAAAAAAAAAAAAAAAAAAAAAAAAAGAATGCTGGTTCTTTTATCAATCTTGTCCCCTGACCTCAGGTTCAGGCAGACTCACTGTCTTTAAAAACAAAATTAAATAGCATATATATCAGATTTATCTGTTTGGTCTTCAATT